ATGCTTTCTGATGGGAGGAGATGGCTGAGCGACAGGTATCCTAGCAGATGGAACTTAGGCGGGAGCCCGAGCAGCACTACAGGAGCAGCTGTAGGAACCAGAGTGAATCCAGGAAGGGGGTTCTCTTGTCCGGGTCGGTAACACTGAGGGGGCTAGAGGGGAACGCCAGAGCAGAATCTGAGCAGCTGGGATTCAGAAACCAGTCTTCAGTGCATGGAGACAAGACTGGTGAGAACTCCAGAGCAAAACGAGCTAAGGGAGACAGGAGACAAAGTTAGAACTAGGAATCCAAAACATCAAACTCTCAGAAACGAAGATCTGTCAGCAGGACAGTGGCCTAGCCGTACCACAACGATCTAATACTCTGGCGTCTTTCAGCTGACTGAAAGCTCCTCTTAAGCTCCAGCAAGAGCAGCTCCAACAAGCCGAAGGTGAGGGGCCACGCCCACCTGTCAACAACAGCCACCTGTGAAAGAGAATCAGTAGAACACAGAACACAGAATCCTGACACTTACAACTTAATTGCCTTTTTTTGGAGAGTTTCATTCAGGTTTTAGAGCTCGTTATAGTACTATAACACAGGGTTCGTACGGGTGCTGGAAATCCTTGAAAATACTTGAAATTTGACGTTGTGTTTTCAAGGTTTGAAAAGTGCTTATATTTAGGATGAAATCCTTGAAAATACTTGAAATTTGACGTTGTGTTTTCAAGGTTTGAAAAGTGCTTATATTTAGGATGAAATGCTTGAAAATGCTTGAAATTGTAACTATTTCTTTCGCAACAAATACCTATCTAACTGAATCGTGTGTTTATTAAATGGAGAAATAAATGTTGGAGAGCCCGAAAATGAAACCTGCTCGCTTATGTGTGACTGTGATCTGCCAGTCTTTTTCCATGTGTGACTCCGCCCCCATGAAACCACTACTGCACCATGCCGGGAGGTTGTCGTTTCAATGAACGTTGGCTGGAAGATGAAAAATACAAATTATGGATTACACGGTTACGTTCAAAATTGTAGGTTCATGATAAAAAGAAACGGAGTCCACACAGAATAGGGTTTTTTGGCTCCT